TAAAAATTCAATTCCCTCCTTCTCCATGGGGTTGATGTCTGCCATTCTCTTCTTGACGTGATGGGTTTACTGGCGGAGTAGTCGATTTCTTGATCATAAATACCTAGAGTGTGAAGTATGGAAGTGTGGCTGAACCGCCGTTACTTCAATATCACCATATTTTTTAGTCTGAGCGCTGAAGCGGCGGGCATGTATTTTTCTAACAAGTTTATTGCTTGGTATGAGGGTGTCCTAAGGGCATATGAAATGCATAAGAATGCTTTTCTGTGGGCCTTACTCAGTAGGTTTAGATAACAATATGTAATACATGGTGTTAACTCCCACCTGATTCCGACCGCTTGTTTGCCAGTGTAAACAGCAACGTGGGCCTTCCTAACTTTGTCCTCTATATAAGGTTTCCAGGTGAGTTTCCTGTCTAATGCGAGTCCTTACTTACTTATACTTAACATTCTCCTCCAAAGGTATATCCACAGCGTTCAAGATTAGTGGGGGGACTATGAGAGACCTGTGTCCTTGTAAAGAGAATTGATTCGCTTTTATCGGGGTTTATTCCGAGTTCACTTCTCTATGTTCAATTCCTAAGCGTGGCCGCGTATTAGAGCGTATAATAACCACAAGCGTATGGGAAAGAATATAGAAGAAGCACAGCAGCAATAGTCGATTCTTTTATGACTGCACGGAATCGGTAACTTTTTGATGAAAAGATAGTTTCTGTGATTAGACAAGACGCTAAATTTTCCAAAAAATCTTTAAACAAAAAATGAGCAAAGCTGGTCACACTGACTACAGTAAATTTATAGGGCGCCATGAGAGGAAATCGCAGTGTCATTCTCAATCTGTTAGATAACAACCAACGAGTCTTCTGAGGTAACGCTGATGTAATTGGATTCGAAAATCTCCTTCTCTTTTTGAGAAAAAGAACTTCATCTCAAATGCTGTCTGAACTTTTTAGAAAACACTTTGTTGTTTAGCAGGTGTTAGTATTGCACTAACTGTTCTATTGAGACTTCAGCAGGAGATCCTGGATGTGTTTGGTAGGCCTAAAAGATTTTTGAGTTCCTTTTATAGGCACCGCATATGAATCCATTTAATGGTTAACGATGCGTGTCACGTGCGTTTATTACGACGATGTCTAAGTACTGAATGTGCTAAAGGCAAATATGATTCTGAATATGAATGACGGGTGGAGAATGCTGCGAGGGACCGAGGTAAATCCTAGCAAGACAAATTAGGTATTACTCACGCGGAAGAGTAAACTGTCAGGTCTTAACCTACCTTTATATCCCGCTTCGCAGAGTGTAAGTTTAAACTTTTTGCGTGTTACATTAAGTGTAATTTATTTCAATCACACATAACTTATTTAAACTCTGCTAAAAATTACAGATTTTAAAAAAGATTTCTTTTTTATCCCCCTTCTCCATATACATATAAAACTAAACTCTTATTAAACCTTTTTCTTCTGACACGCGTATTGTGATACTTATTTTAATAAATTCCACACTCTTTCGTTTGTCACTTTAACTTGTGTATAATTAAATTAAATTCCACTTTTCAAACAGATGGCAACCCTTTTCAAAATAGTTTCAAACTACCACCTTCTAAAGACACTTTTGTCTGAAGCCCATATTGTGATATATGTACATATATATCAGATAAATAATTCTCTTAATTTAAGTTGAATTTGACTTTTTAAAAAAATATAGCAACCCTGTAGCTTAGAAATGAAGCCTTTTCAAAACCTTTTCGATTGATACAATATTGGAATAGTTAATTTAACTTATAAAATAATTTGAATTTCACTTTTTAAACAGGTGGCAACCCGCTTCAAAATACCTTCAGACTACAAATTTCTTAAACCTCTCTCGTTATCTTCTCACCAGTACTCTTCCAGGTATATAGTATGAAAAATTCAGTTTTTATGGTACGTGCCACGCCCCCCTCGCTTATTGCACCCATTTAAGTGCATGAGTATGGAATCGATTTTATATACATATGTATCTCCATACCAAGTTCCAGTGCTCTACTACAAATACTTCCAGAAGAATGCAGTATGAAAAATTTAGTTTATATGAGAGGTGCCACGCCCTAATGTCTAATCGAGATTAAGGCTATCCTTCCTTTTAAAATAGTTCCTTCAATTAAATTCTACGAAATTTATACTAGTTCTGCAAAGTATAATCAGCAACTCTAAAGCTGTTGCGGGAGTTGTAAATACTAAGCTATTGTTTCAGTTACTTCAACGTTGAAAAACTAGTTGTACAAGCATTTAATTGCCCCGAAAAGGTAGAAAAAGGACGATCTTAAATCAAGCGCTTTTGCTTTTGAAAAAACAAAATAAATAAAACCCATTAAACATTAAATTTTATGCATAAATTCCTTCCTTCCATTAGTCCTTTATCAACAAAAATCTTTTCGTGCGATCACTGTTACCCAGCTCAAAACTGCGTGCCGTGCCAGCCAGCCTTCCAGTAGCTGCTATGTGTAATACCCAACCCTCCAGGCTTAGTGGCGCTATCGCTTACACCATCCCAACCAGAGTAGTACACAACGTGAATCTCATAAAAATATTACATTTCATTTACGTGCCGCGAACAATTTGCATAGCAGCAAGTGCGTTTATCATTTTCAGGTGAGCGAAAAGACGGCAGTTAGGTGCATAAGGTTCGATGGCCATTCGCTCGGATGCCACAAGACAAAATGAAAGGTTGAAAGCAAGCACTTGGATGGCGTTGTTCACTTGCTTTGCAGCTCACCTACATACATACATACATACTTACTCAGCGCTACGCGGCTACTTGACGGTGATACATTACTTACACCTTTCCACTTACCT